ATATATACACATATATATATATATATATATATATACACACATATATAAATATATATAACACCCCACATTTGGTGCCTGCGCCCAGATGCAGATCAATTGCCGATTTCAGCTGATCCGTGGGGAGGTGTGGTTATTGGTCGCAGCCTTTTTCAGCACTCCTTTCTTGAAGCTTTTGATGGAATTGAGTAAGGCTCCACGGTCTGTACCATTCACCGAAGGGGTGACCGACTGCGTTGGCACATCCTTGCTTGGAGGAGGGAGAAGCGCAGGTGGTGGTGGTGGTGGTGGCGGCGGCGGAGGTGCTGGTATCAGAGATGTTGCATTACCTGTGTAGTAAAAATTAGATTACAATATTAATGATATAACATTATAAAGACTGAATTAAATGATCGATACAGCTGTAATGTGGTATGTAACCCATTACTATGGTATACTAAAAGTATGTACAATCCTCATTCATATCCCAAGAAACATCCTCACAATACAGGAAGCCGGAGAACACAGGAAGTTATCAGCTTACAAGGTTTCTGGCAGGATCAATGATTTTAAGAGTATATTTGACAGACCAAAAGGGATCAAATAGAGCAGTTCATTGTTCGGGTTCACTTACCCTTTAAGCTGACATCTTATACAAGGTAGACTACTTCCCACCCCCCCACGAAAGAATAAGGCGCTTAGTGCTTAGCACCAGTGCTGTCACATGGTCCACAATACCAGAAAGTACTGGCAGCTTTTCTCCTTTCATGGCAGCCAAACGGAATGGTTGAGAAGCAAAGGGAAGGTGAGATTGTGTTGCTGGTGGGGGGCCACCATTAAAGTGAACCTGCACAGGTTGGACAGCGGACAGGCACGCCATATTCTTTGAACCCAGAACATATATGCAACTACGGATCACCTTCAGTGGTTGAAAACTCGGACTTGCTCCTTCTGTTTTCTCCAATGGCTTGCTTTGAGAAGACCTGAGCCATTGACCACAGGGGGTGGTCCGTATTTGCAATGATAGCTCAGTATCTGTGGCTCCTGTGTGCTCCAAAAATAAAAGGAATCTACCACCAGGAGGTCCCACTAACAAACATTCGTTAGTTTACTCCGTGCAGCCTGGCCACAGGTTTATTCTAAATAGGTTTGAGGAGTTAAATCATTAAACAAATCTTTAATGATAAGAAACATGCTTTCTAACAAGCGGAGAGGATTCATCCATTGCACTGAAATGATACATTCATACATTATATACATTATATAGTAACTGGGAAAGTTCCAGAAACACAGGAACCTCTTCTCTGAAAAAGACCAAAAACACTATTCATATCCATCATCATACAACAGTCACACACCCGTGGTAGAATTAAAGGGGAACCACGTGTATTATTCAGTAGGTAAACTTGTTGCGTTATTCATGTATTTATCTTTTTTTTTCAGACTTTCCATGCTCACTCATCCTTACTTTATTATATTTCATACATCAATATATAAAAATGTTCTCCAGTGATTATTTGTATATCAGGACATTTTATCACCAACCTTCTTTTTAAAGGATAGCAAATCATCCTATATACACTCCACATTACTCGGCTGAAATCAAATGGCAACCTCTACCAGTGGCCACGGTCTACGCTGACAGTGCTGCACTAGTTAGGCGGCAGGTAATGCACGTGTGTGTGTGGTCTTTTCTCCGTATACCATAATGAAGAAGCCATGCAAGTATGTAGCCTCTCCATTACAGCCTTAGAAGAAAAGACACAAATGCCTTTGAAGAAGGTCACTGGCTCGTCCACGTTGATCAGTGTGGGGAATATATGGAATGGTCAGGGTGAGGTGTACACAGTCAGCCCCATAATGTTTGACAGCTTTGTAATCCATTAAGCGTACCTGTGGGATTTCTAAATCTAATATTCCAGCAGCATCTCCCTCTGTTCCATGCATTGTTCTTTTATTTCATAGTGTCCTGGTAACTCCTCAAAACCCAGGGATGTCCATTATAGAAACAGTGACCTCATTTCTAATGGCTACATTATGACCTAACCCATTCCCATTCCCAATTGGTCACAATGAGCAATGGTGTGGCTTGTAAGCCATTGTTCAACCATGAAAGCTGGGGTCCCTGTTTCTGTAATAGAGCCCCCCAGCATTATCAGGGTACAAGCAGTAGCCTACATCATCATCCTGCTCCTTTATAATTACATTTGAATATGCTTTAACGGCTATTGTATATGAATGAGATCAATTCAAATTATTACAAATATTATTATACAGGAGTTACATGGCGCCAACAGTCAGCTCATCATGTTACAAAATAAAGAAAGACAGTTCCAATGCAATTCAATGGAAGATGGTTAGGAGGGCCCTGCTCATGGTTGTGTACAATGAGGCAAGTGATGCAAAAGGTGATAACTATGTGGGGCGAGTTGATGGAGCTCTAGTACACCCTCTTTGATTTCTATGGTTTTAACTATCGGCAAATAATAAAAATCATCTGGTCCTTAACTTTAGGTAAATACAACCTCAGAGGAACAACACATGACATATTATAACGGGTCATTACTTATTTTACAAACAGAAAGCCAAAATGGAGAAGCCTTATGTGAAAAACTAAGTACACCCTTACTGTTTCCATAGGAATTAAGGGGCTAAGTAGCAGCCAGGTGCTGCTAATCAATTTACCTTGATTAATTGATCATCAGCGAGTGTGACCACCTCTACAAGGGTCGGTGCACACCACAAACAGTGCGTTCCAGAGTGGTCAGCTTGGACCGGAACGCAGGCACTAAATGTAAAACTCGTTCGGGTGCTGCAGTGTTATTGACTTCAATGCAGCTCCACACCCCCTCCCGCTCTTGAATGCAGGCAGCCGGCTAGGTTGCGATACAGCGTGTTCCAAAGGCTGACCTTTGTGGTGTGACCCCCCCCCCCCTAAAAGCCGAAGTTTTAGCAGTTTGCTGGTCTGGGGGATTCAGGTGTGTGTTAACACAATGCCGAGGAGGCAAAACATCAGCAATGAATAGAGAGATGCATTCAACGAATAATAGAGAAGCCATTGTTGCTGCCCATCAATCTGGGAAGGGTTACAAAGGCCATTTCCAAACAATATAAAATCCATCGTTCTACATGGAGGAAGATTGGAAAACATTGGAAAACAAGTGGAAAACATTTAGGACTATGCTATGGCTGAATTCCAGGTCCACCTGATTAGCAAAGCTCCAACACTTGCTGATGACGTTAAATCTTGCCACTCTGTCCCACCCCCATCTTTTTCTATTCACCTATCACAACGATGGCTTGGCTTACTGGCCAACAGGAATGTGCAAATGGCAGAAAGGGGCGGGCAAATGCTGACACTACCAGGAATTGTTGGAGTTTTGTCTGTTAGAACAGCTAAGGATTCAGTCCCTAAGATGGCTGCCACAACAAAAGTGAAAAAAAGTCTAAAACATAAAAAAGAAAATAAATAGAAAGTAAAAAAATAATCTGCAAAATATAGCTAATGATGAAGAGAACAGACATAGTAAGAACTGATTGAGCTTAACTAAGAATGAATCATTTCATAATCCTTTGTTTAGAGACAAGCAGGACCTGGAATTATGTGCAGGTCACAGGACAATGATCTGATTTCCAAATATGCACCAACCAAAATGTATCATGACATCATGATTGGTCTATGGTTGAGAGTGGGGTAGCGTGGCCCGGGGGTCCGGGCTAGGCCCTATACTGTTTAACCTGTTCATTAATGATATTGGGGAAGGTGTTAATAGCCAAGTTTCAGATAATACTAAAAATGGAAGGGTAATGGACACGAGCGTAGACATTATAACATTACAGGAGGACCTGGATAAAATAGGGGAGTGGCCATCTATATGGCAGATGAGGTTTAATGTTGATAAATGTACAGTAATGCATTTTGGGGTCAAAAACAGGCAAGCGGAATACACATTAATGGGAACTCCACTAGGGAAGTCAGAAATGGAAAAAGATTCGGGGGTCATAGTAGACCACAGATTGAACAATAGCATGCAATGTCAGGCTGCGGCACACACAGCGAGCAGAGTACTGTCTTGTATTAACTAGGGAATCTACTGTAGAGACAAATCTCTAATTGTGCCACTTTATAGATCGCTGGTTTGGCCTCATCTGGAGTATGCGTCCAGTTTTGCTCACCAATCCACAGAAAGGATGTTCTTGAGCTGGAGAGAGTCCAGAGAAGAGCAACTAAACTAACTAAGGGGCTGGAGGACCAGAGCTATGAGACACGGCTACTAAATTTAAACATGTTTACACATAAAGTGAGGCGATTAAGGGGGGATATGATTTTGATGTACAAGATCATGGTGGTGATGGCAACATCAGCAATAAACTGTTTACTCTAAACTCCCCAACAAGGACTATAGGCCACCACCTAAAACTGGTGGAGAAAAGATTTAACCACAAGGGGTGTAGGGGCTTTTTTTTCCAGTTACAGCGGTTAGGGTCTGGAACTCGCTGCCACAAGTATGGTATCAGCAGAGGCTATTGAATCATTCAAAAAGCATTTAGATACCTTGCTCAGAGACCGCAACACACAGGGGTACAGGTACTCCTAAAAACTAGACCACACAGGGACTCGTATACACACAATCACATACAGACACAAAGGTTGAACTTGATGGACCTGTGTCTTTATTCAGCCTCAAATACTATGCAACTATCACTGTTACTATGTATTTTGTACTCAGTACTTGGTTTGGGCCCCTTTTGCAGCACTTACTGCAATTACTTTTGCACGATATTCTAATTATTATTCGAGTTTCACCTGTATGTATTTCTAAATGCTACTTGCAGGCTTCAGTCATATAAGAGACGTGATCAGTGCTCCTGTTACACAGAATGGGACCCAGCATTCAAACTGACAGCCTAACCTCGTGTGTGTGTTTTAGGCATGCTTGTATTGTACATGTGACTTTCACGTAAATTAACCAATCAGTCATTTGTTTTCACATTTCACAGATGTTTTTGAAGTGGGGAACATGGTTTGCAAATAATAGAAATGACAAAGTGACACAAAGCAAATGTTTGTTTTGCGGGTAGAGCTTTGCCAATAATAAATGATAGATCATACAAAAGGCTGATGATGGCGTAATGTCCGGCACTGTCCATAAGGCATGACAGTGAAGGTGACAAAATGAAGGTTTACTTTACCGATAACTCACATTGCAAATGACGCATGCTCTACAATAAAGAGAGACAGCGGAGGGGAGAGAGAAAGACACTGATCATTATTGCGGTATTAATGACAATATTCACAACACATCGGGGCATAGTTATGAAGCAGTAAATGTCAGCAATCACAAACAGT